GGTATATGAAAAATGTGTTATCACCTAATAAAATATTTTTCTATCTTATTATCAAAAAAAAAGTGTAATTCATTGTCTATCAACTAATAGTTATAAATTATAACTTAATATTTTTGTAGATTAAATTTGAGGTTACTTCAAATTTAGGATAGATTTTTACTTAATTATTTTTTAAAGCGTATAAAAATGACAATAGAATAGAGTGAGTAGAAGTATCTAACTATCCGAAACTAATTATAACCATAATTGTCTTGCTAAAATTTCTCAGTTAAAACTTTTTTTTGGTTCTCTGCAATATTAAAACATGTTTCACACTTTCCAATACCATTTAACTTATACAAATTTTAACTTTTACATTTGTTCTGAAAAAATTTATTTTGTTAGTTAGTTTAAATTTTTATTCTCTCTCTCATTAGCTTCAATAGAAAATTAACTTAATTATATTTGGTCGAGGATTCGACTTTTGTTGATTGAATTTTTATGTATAAAACCCGAATTTAATATTTTTGAATCTAAAAAAAGAAAACAAAAAAAAATAATAATTTAATTGTTGACAATTATTTACATTATTATAAAATATATTAATAGGACCTAATTTAAAATTATTGCCTATGGCCCCCGAATATGTTGGGCTGCCCATGGATTTGGATAGAGGAACCTGGGTGGGCGTGGGTTGAGTCCCACAAATCCAAATGCCGCTAACCTTTTTGGTGTGGAACTGATCAGTGACTCTATGTCATGATATGTTTCCAGTATCATGGCCCTTCTCAGACAGATGTTTGGTGCGGGCACCGAGAATGTGGTCTCATGCATTCATTTTTCCCCTTTTCCAATTTTATTGTTATTTTATTACTTGCTCTTGATTTGTAATTCTTTGTTGGTTCTTCTGTAGTTATGTTTTTGGCTTTTGTTATATGCAGGTGAGGTGAAGGTTGAGAACAAGACTTGGAAAGTTGATGTGAGTTATGCTCTTCTTAATTTTGTCTCTGTTTTTCTATATGCATGTGTACAATACCTTTCCATGTGGTAAGAAAAGAAAAGAGCATTAACAAGGTATCCTATGATTATGGGCAGTTATGTTTCTAGTGCAAAAATCAAAAATTCATTTCGGTGCATAGTTTCGATGAGTTTGAAAATATCAACATTTCAATAATATTATGAAGCCAAAAAAAATATTTAAAAATTTATTTTCAAAACATTGGTTGAAACAAACGAAATATAGGTTGAAACACACCGAAACATATGAATTTTGATATTCAATCAATGATTTATTTCGATTTCTATGGAAACGAAAACATTTCTGACGTTTCGATATGAAATTTAATTCCTTGGGTGAGTCACAGGCAGTTTGAACAATAGATGCATGAGGTTTAACTCTTTAGGGTTCACGCCTTGCAATTTGCCATTCATATGCTTCAAGAATGCTAAACAATAAAGAAGATCCAAGTTTTTTGTCATGACATTCAAGAATGCTAAGCTTGAGTGTTCATTTGGATGTTGAGTTGATTATATTGAGTATTCTTTTTGTAAAATTTGTAGGCTAATTTATTTTCAAATTGATTTTTTTTTAATTATGAAATAGGTTTATAGTATCTTGATTTGATGAATGTTAGAGTTATTTATATTAAGATTGTGTGTTAATTTAATGTACTTCCATCATTTTAGGGATTGTGTCAATTAGTATGAAATAGGTTTTTATAGAGTCTTGATTAAAATTAAGATTTGTGTGTTAATAGAATGTTGTGCGTTAATTTCATTCTCTATAAGATTTTTAGGCTAATTTGTTTTCAAATTGAGTTTTTAATTTGGGTGTTAAACAAGGTTTGGAAATTTCACAAACTTTATTCATGTTTTTTTTTTAAATTATGAAATAGGTTTATAAGATTGGATGTTCATTCAAGTGTTTCTGTTATTGCTTCAGTGAGTTGGCTCGGTGGATTTAACAATTTTGATGTAAGTTTCAACAAGCTTGATTAAGAAACAGAGACTATCTTTGGCTCCTCCCTGACTCTCGCTCTCACCCTCCTTCCATCCCAAAATCCCACCGCCTCAACACACACACACACACACACATCTTTGATTTTGTAGCACACACGCACAAGCTTGATGAGGGAACAGAGGTGTTTGCAACACACACACATATTTCTCCCTCTCTCTCTTTTGTATTTTTTTTTATTATTATTCTTTGTTGAATTGTGTAATTTAATCACATGTTGGTGTTGTCCACTAACTATCTATTATTATGCTCCATAGGACTTTTTTTCTTAGTGAATTTTGTTGTCGGTTAATGGCAGTAAAACAAATGGCTAACAAATTCCTAGCTTTGGAATGTTGAAGGTAAGTGCTCTATCCATGGGCTTTGTCTCAATGTGATTAGTTGTGTATGTATCAATCATGCCATTGAGTATCTTAGGTAGAAAGCATAAATATGTAGCTCGCTATCAAATTTGGGGCTTAGATAGCTAAGAAGTGTGTACTTTCTTTGCCTTCAATTAATTTCAATTATGGGTCAATTTCTTCAATGTTATGATTAAAGGTCTCTATGCTTGAACATGAAATTGCAGTTCTGGGCTTTATGTTAACACTTTAAAAGGTGTCAATTTGTGGTATTTAATGGGAAACAATAAAGAAAGGTTTGCTTTTGAATAGACATAGAATAATCATATGGGTGTGATAAGATGGGAAATAAATATGAAAAAGCCCAATGCACCAACCCAATTTTACTAATATTGCTAGCGTTGTTATAGAAAATCTAGCACTACCTAATTTATATTGTTTTTATGAGTTTTGCTATATTCAGTTGGTCTCGGTTTAATCTTATTTGGGTCATGGATTATATCTTTTGTTTTTATTGTTAAGTTAAAAATTGACTTTTATTTGTAACAAGAAAGCAAGTAGACTTGAAATGTTTTCAGATTCATGTGTTTTATTTTTATTATGAAATTAGTATTTTTATTACTCTTAGGAATTTCGTGTTTGTGGTGGTCATTTGGACAACTAAGATTTTTATTTTTATTTTTGTTTTGTTCTTGATTAAATATGGTGACTTTTGATAATTTTTGTTTGTTGTTCTAGCTAATATTATGTTTGTAGTATGATGTTCCATTTGACTGTATGTACTACAAGTAAGCATAAAACAAAAATTTCAATTTTTTTCATTCTCATTTTCTTTTTATTATGATTATGAATAATATTTTTTGAAATTTCTATAGACTCTTTACATTTGATCTTTGTTTATACTATGAAAGCCCGTCAATTTATGTATCGACTAGATAATTGATAAGAGCGACCATCCAATATATTTGTTCTAGATTAAATATGGGACTTTGATAATTTCCATTTGTTGTTCTAGCTAATATTGTGTTCGTAGTATGAGCTTCCACTTGACTGTACGTATTACAAGTAAGAATAAAACTCAAATTTCAATTATTTTCATTCTCACTTTCTTTTCATTAGGATTATGCACAATTTTTTTTTTTTTTTTAAATTTCTAGACGCTTTACATTTGATCTTTGTTTATACTACGTGACTGGATAATTGATAAGAGCGGTCATCCAATATATTTTTATTAATAGGTTGTGTTGCACTTTGTCTGTGAAAGCAATGGATGTTGTCTGTAGATAAACGGAGCTCTCTTAATGTTTTGTCAATGCTTTAGAATTTTTATATTCTGTTGCTTCCAAGTTGTGTTTGTACTGGCACGTGCATTAGTTGAATGTTACATGTTACAGTTATTTTGATAGAAGTGGGTGATTGAATGATGGTGGTTTGATTAGATTTGGTTTAACAAATTTGGTTTCATTCTTCATTTCATATGGATTGGTATATGTTTTACCAATGTAGTTACTATGCTTTGAAACTGTAATCATTTTCTCTAATATCCCATCAATTTGATTTCTTTTGTTGAACTATCTTGCAAATTTTTTGTTGTAGGATTGTAATAGGAGATGTTGGACACTAACGGATCAAAGTAGGAAACACATCTAGATGGTAAGGTAGGGGTAAGTTCTCATATGCACTGCAATATCCTTGGTCTTCTTTGAATATTATTTTGTTGCGGTGATATTTGTTGAAAAAATGCATATGCGATTCATGTGATCCTTGCAAAAGTAGAAAGAAAAATAAGGAAGTTGGACGTTTCAAACATGTTGAAAGTTTGATTAACATATCAATTGTTTTATGTATTACAGGTTTTTGAAAATGACGGTTTTCTTAGAATTTTGATCCATGTTAGTTTGGGGTAGGTTATGGCCTTTGTAAAAACTCTCAATTCATTCTACTTTGTTCAATTTTTATTTGATCTTTTAAATTATTGCTAGATATATATCGGAGCTAGAGTCCATTGGGTCTACAAGGCTCCAATACTAAACCTTTTTTCACATCAATGGCTTCCAAAAAATCTAAGATTTGATTATGGCCTTAATGAGTTTTGTTGGTTCAGTTAAATTTATATAGTGAGCTTTACTTTGGTGATTTTTCAACACAATCTTAAGCTAATATAATTATTTTGTATGATTGTGAACAATAAATTTTGGTTATTTGGTTAGACTTACATATATTACATGTAACTTTGACATTTGTTATTATGATATAAATATTATTTTTGTTTGACTTGAATAGTGACTAAAATATAATAATGTCTTTGCGTTAGGTTAAGGAATTTATTCTTTGAGATTGTGTTGGGCAATGATACATATAATTAGATATATAAACTTTGTATAGATTATTCGGAATTCTTTTTTTTTTGGTCGAAAATAGCAAGGGTAAGTATGATTTCAATGTCTTTAATTAAAATAAATGGAGGAAAAGTTATGATTATGAGCGTTTTTTTAAGTTTCAAAGTGTCGGGTAATTACTAGAATATTTATATCACTTATCAAACATAAAATTTGATTGAATTTTTTTTGAATCCCATGTGTAAATCCTTTGGGCTGGGTTTGGATACGTTCCATAAATTCAGTCCAAAACCTCGCAAATTAAACATCCAAACATGCTATATATTTAAGTTTGTTAATCTTTATAAATATGTGACCGAATCATTTGTTACTTGAATTTAGTCGGAGCTTAGAAATATAATCAAATTTGATTTATTGTGCAATTTTATTTTTTTAATCAAAATTTATTGTGCAATTTTATTTACTGAAATGTCCATCATTGTACAGTCGATGTGAGCTTTGTTTCCTTTGCATCTCTGAATAATTTCCAAAATCAAGGACATTCGTTTGTGTTGATAAAGTTCATATATAATAAGGTCTCTTCGGACCCTCAAACAAAAACTATACTATAGAAATGGATTTCAGAAAGTGTTGAATCAGCCCAGAATAAGATGATCTCGCAATTACCCAAAATAAAATCTGACTGACCTCATAGCTTCACTCCATTCCTAAATCAACGGCTGTGAATCGACCGAATCTCAGAAATCAGAGCACCCACCGTTTCGTTCCCAATCGCCGAAGAGAGTAGGTTCGGGACCTCTGGGACCTCCGATCTCACCGGTCTCTTTATTCACTTGAACGCCATCACTGTCCTCATATCCTCATCTTCAGCATCGCCATTGCGAGTATCGTCATCTTCACTTTCGAGCTTCTCTGAGTTTTCCGAGACCTCACCTTCTGGTTCCTTGGGGTTTTCTTGATGAGATTGTTTTCGCTGCGTCGAAGACCAAATAAGTCGAATCGCTGAGATCGAGAGTTCGGATCTGCCGAAGGATAGAGATAACTTTGGAGGCTTGGAAAGCTCGATTGCTGATGTGAATAGACGGCCCAGATTGCTCGCCATCTTCTTCTTCGTTTTTGTCTCCGCCGCTAGAAGAGAACTCTCTCTCGGTCCCCAGAGAGAGACCGGCGGCGCCTGAGCTTTAGACACATGAGGCGGTGGGACTCGTCCTTTTCTGCAACGGTGTCGTTTTGGTTGTGGGCCTTGTGGCCCAAACTCACACCATACACCAATCAAATGGGCAATTACAAGGCCCAATTTCTTTGTTTCATCATTAATCCAGCGTCTTAGAGAAGCTTGCCATTGGTCAAAAATTCTAAATGGGCCTTAAAATTCAATTCAGTTCCATCCAAGTAGTAAGCATTGGTTTTCCGGGGGAAGTGGATGTGTCACCATCTTGAAGCATACCATAATCTTACTAAGAAACAAGAAGAGGATCGCAGAATGGAAGGGTCAAATGCCTGGAACTAGACTTCATTTTTGCTGTTATCATCAATATTTTAGAGTGCAGAAATTTGACAGCAAATCTTCAAGCCATCCCGTAACTTTTCGAGTTTCAAAGTAGTTCACCCCAGAGATATCATCCATTATATGATAGTAGTTCAGAATACTAACCGATTCAGGACCAAGGAAACCCATTGCTAAAAGAACTAGATCAGCCTCAATCATCTCCTCAGAGCCCTCAACTTCCTTAAATTGAAACTTCCCCCTAGCATCCTTCTCCCAGTGGACATGGACCACTTCCAATCCTTTCACAACCCCATTCTCATCTCCAACAAACCGCTTAGTCAATACCTCATAGGACTTTGGGTCTTTGCCAAATTTGGCAGCAGCTTCCTGGTGTCCATAATCTATGCGGAATATGCGAGGCCACTGCCAACCAGAAAAGACGGGCAAAAATTTGTATTGACATCTAAAAATAAGGCATATGAAATGGTAATAAAAAAAATTGGGTTATACATTTTCAAAATTACACAGCCTTTTAGTTGAGACTTCCTATCAAAAATCTGACATGTAATGCAAATATGCACCAATATGTTGGACCGCATTGCTCTTGATATTCCCTAAGCACAGGATCCCTTATTCTTGTTCTTTTTTCTTTTCCATTTTAAATTGATAGAATTAAAATCAAATCTCAGACTCCCTGCTCCTTTTTTCTCCCTTTTGACTGGCACTGTCAACTGCTTACCATTGTACTATACAGGTTTTGGTATGCAGCATCAGACTTATCATTTTGCTGTGCTAGAAATTCTCTGCTAATCACAATCTCGATTGAATTTTATCAAATACTAACAATATTTAGAGAAAGTTAGTGAAATAATTTGCTATCCCGTGCTATGACCCACAGCAGAAGGCTATAAATTAAAATTGAGCAAAAGTTTTAAGGTGGTCAATTTTCATTACCTTGTTCCTATGAGTAAAAGTGATAACTGTATCAACTGGGGAAAAACTAAGAAAGGGGTCAAACCTGTGGCCAAGGGTTGCCAGGAGCCCTGGTTCGTGGCGGCTCAGGGAGAAGCTCTAAATTAACAATACTATTGCAACTGTGACGGATAGATGTCCCAATACAATCTGTGCCGGTGTCACCTCCACCAATTACCACTACCTTCTTGCCCTTTGCAGAGATGTATTTACCGTCCTGATGATTGCTATCAAGCAAGCTTTTAGTATTGGCGTGAAGAAACTCCATATCAAAATGGACTCCAGCGAGTTCGCGCCCAGGAACAGGGAGGTCCTGTAAATATTAGTTCACGAGTTATATTCTGTCCTGAAGATGGGGGGAAAGATCTGTTAAGTTTCACAAATTTTCTATTTATAAACAATCCAAACAAGCATCATCCATAACTCATTCTCCATGACTCACCTGGGTTTTGTGGCGCCTACCGCCAAAACAATAGCATCATTCTCCTGGCGAAGCCGATCCCCATACATCATAAGTATTAGCAACAAACCACAGCTCGGCACACTCAACAGTAGTGAGAGTCAATGGAGCAATAAGGAAGCACAAGATTCTTGGAGAAAAAAGGGAGAAGACTCTCACAATATTGCCGAAATTAGTGGAGAGACGTTGAGGGGCATTGGAGCTCTAACTGCAATAAGTTTAAACCAAAATAATTATCCAGCAAGTCCTAAAAATCAGGAAAAATCAGACCATTTGTAGCAGCAGATTTTATGAGAAATCAGACCATTTGTAGCAGAAATCAGTGGAGAGACGTTGAGAGGCATTGGAGCTCTAACGGCAATAAATTTAAACCAGAATAATGATCCAGCAAGTCCTAAAAATCTGGAAAAATCAGACCATTTGTAGCAGCTGATTTTATGAGAAACCATTTTGTAGCAGATTTTTTGGAAATCATTTCGTTGTATTACTTGTTTAAATACTCCTCTTGTAATGCCTAATGGTTCACGTTGCCGATTATTGAATAAGAGACATATCAATTCAAGCTTTCTTCTTCCTCTGTTTTTATCTTTTTTCCTCTATAAGTCCACCAATTCAATCAGCACGCTCAATCACAGTCACACTATGGCCCATTTTGTTCAATTGATCAGTGGCAGCCAATCCAGCAGGGCCACTTCCAATGATAGCAACTCTTTTTCTGTAAGAGTGAGGAATATTAGGATCAGTTTCGCCCTGACATTTCATTCGAGACAATATAGTACTTGTGGAAAAGTCCAATAAAAGAAACGGAAGTTTCTAAGCTTAAAAAAGAATCTTAAGACTTGCAATCACACCAGAACAGAAAATATATATTTTTTTAAAAGTGGAACACCTCTTAAGATGTGGGAAACTACAGTCAAGCTAAAAATCAAAAGCATACCCAGTTCTCCTTGAGGGAGGCCGTGGCACCATCCATCCCTCCTCAAAAGCCTTGTTATCAATGGATTTCATCAGGGGAAGCATAGTTTTTAGGGAACGCGATCCTGGGGGTACTAGAAGGTTCATTGCAGGTATTCAGTGGTAAATCACTAGAATCTGCATTCCGGACCCCAGTACAGGCCAATGTCAACATGAGTCTTGACTGCATCCCTCAAGCAAAAATCCAAATTATGTAACTTAATGATATTTGCTTCCAGGTTAGGTCAGGTTATCTCATACTTCTGCCAATGATCTTTGCTTCCAGGTTAGGTCAGGTTATCTCATACTTCTGCCAATGATCTTTGCTTCCAGGTTTGGTCAGGTTATCATACATCTGCGGGGTGCAGTGCCTCTGCTTTCTAATGCATCCAGTCATCGTTATATATTTTTATAAATTTCTGCGTTCAAAATGCAGGAAATTTCTGCGTTCAACAGCACTGCCTCATCAGTATCACACATTTTATTAACATTACAATCCAAGGACTGTACACAAAAAAAAGTAGAACGGTGTCATTAACTTCTCTAGTTTAAAAGATATCATTGACTTAAATAATTGAGTAACATGTCTGGCCTTAGTAATATCTGACTTAAACTTCATGACCTCTCATTCAAAAAAAGCCGCACCTATTTAACTAACCATTTTTAAATTAACAACATCATCATCCTGCTTATCCGAAAAATGGGAAGTTTCTCCTAAACAAGTATATGTGAGCATGCAAACGGATCACAGATACACCCAATGGCATGGAAAACAATTAATTCACTAGTTACTAAACAACTTACCAATTTACATTTCCCCGGAGTGTGTTAATTTCCCCATTATGGCCCAAGACACGCATAGGCTGAGCACGATCCCAGCTCGGAAATGTGTTAGTTGAGAACCTAGAGTGTATCTGCACCAAGAATCGAAAAACAGTAATCTAGGGAGTGGAAGAACTTAAGAGATCATTCAAACTTCAGTGCCTCAGAAGTCATTCCTCAACCTTGAAATCTCTCCAGTTAACTGGTTCATCCCATGCTGTTCGTTGCCAAAGTATGGAGTCAGTGTACAAAGAAGAAGTGTAAATGAAAAATATATTTACCAGGGCCATGTAGCTTGTAAACCTTTCAGTGCCAAGATCTGCATAGTAGTACTCCTTCAACTGATTGGGCTTCAGCTGACCCTTGTAGACAACAGTCCTGCAGAAACAAGGTAAGGTCTTCACAGTCTGAAAGCAGAATTCAGCAAATGAACATATCGGCAAGACACTACAGCAAACAAACCTTGAGGAAAGAGAACATATGTAGAAGTCCCTCAGACCACCATGTTGGAGGTTTAGTGCAGCTCGAATAGCTACCACCATTGAAACCCCCCTTAATATATACATCTGCAGAATGAAAAAGAAAGACAACAAAAAGTGCGAAGACCAGGAGTCTTTCAAAGGAAGAAAATAATTGGATGAAACTCTCAAATAAAACACATTACGGGAAATAAGAGAGGACTGAGAAAGTATCCTGCAAGAGTCACATGGTTCATCAATTTCACCTCATTTTTACAAAACAAATAGATTGTAAAATCAAGGGAACTTCCCCATGGGAAATCATGCAACAACCCCAATATTGTGAGTACTTTCTTCCAACAATCCACTGGAGGTACTAGTGGATTGTATTCAATCAGGGGAAGCCAGTCCATGCACAACTGACAAATCATGTAACCCCAATATTGTGAGTACTTTCTGCCAAAAATCCACTATAGGTACTAGTTATCATGGATTTAGTCAGGGGAAGCCAGTGAATGCAGAACGGACAAATCATCCCACTTTCAAGCCTAAAAACTGATTCTAGCATAACAGAGAGAGATTTACCTGTTGCTCAAAATCAGCTTTTGACCGAGGCGTAGGTGTAAAAAACACTTGCTCAATAACAGGTTCTATCTGCAAAGCAGATTTGCCCAATCCTGAGTTATCTGTGGGGACCATGCGCCACCCAAGTACAGTATGCCCAAGAGACTCGGCCACCTACAAATATATTTCATAAATTCTCAGAAAACAACATCAAGACAAGATATAAGAAAATTCTAGCAATTAATCGAAATGGCAACTCAAAACATAGAAATCCGGAACTGTGCCAAGAATTCCATTTCAAATATTTGAGCAATAATGAAGATGCTCCTCGCTGGAGTTCACGTAAACTAAACATAGACAGCAAAAGAAATGAGAACAAACAGACCAAATTTTAGCTAAGTTACCTTTGTAAATACAATTTTGCTTTGTTCCCTTCGACTTTCAGATGCAGGCAAGAAGAACATGCCCACGGCATATTGTCAACGTGGTGCCAGCTCGAAACCAATATCCTTAGCAACCTGTTACAAGATGACCAAACAAAAATCACCACCTAGTAGTTTATAATAAAGTAAAGGAGAATATGGCCTTGAGCCAAAGACAACAAGAGTAAAACCGCTAGAAATTAGAATTCAGTTAAGGTATTAGAAACACGCATACTTACTAAACATTTTTCTCTTTTTGTTTCTTTCCCCTTATATATTCACGCAAATTCGAAACGAAAATTACATAACCAAATAAATTCATCACAAAGAAAATAAAACGGTTAGCTTTCAAAAATAAAAAATAGATTCCCTGTCGAGAAAGGTTGTTAATAGAAAAACGTCTTCATAGTTATTACCTCAAAAGAGAAATGAAAGTGAAGTTGATAAACACACCTCCTTATAGAAGTCATGAGGAAGAGCTACGAGAATACCAGCTCCATCACCAGTATTTGTCTCACAACCACAAGCGCCTCTATGTGACATACGTACCAACATCTCTATCGCATCCGTCACCTACAGAGCACAAGGACAGTTCCTTCAAAAGTGGAATAAAATATTTGCATTGTCATGTGAGTTAGCTGTCTCTTTGGATCCTTTTTTCTTTTACATTCCACTGATAGATAATGAGAAGAAGTGCCTTGGGTTGGACAAAAAGTTGGAGGTCACAGCTAGTGTATTGCGTTCCTTCACTGATATCTTTTACATAATCCATATCTTCTTTCAATTTCGTACCCGCTTTATTGCTCCTTCTTCGCGAGTATTTGGAAGAGGTGTTTTAGTGGAAGATGCTTGGGCAATAGCAAAGAGATATTTATCATCGTACTTTTTAATTGACATTCTAGCTGTTCTTCCACTGCCACAGGTGAGAAAAGATTTCTGCATTGCCAAAATGTCCTCACGTTGCAATTTTCCATTCCTCTCTGGACAATTCCAAATCCGTTTTCTTCTTGTTCAGCAATTTGGGGCAGGTTTTTTAAGAAACATTTTGAGCGGAGTCTAATGATTGGTTCTGCATTATTATACTAGTGTGTGATAATTTCTGAGGCATAAACAAGAAGGATGATTTTTGCCCTAGTGCATGTATGTTTTCTTTTTTAATTTTTTTTTGTGGTTATTGCATGCATGTTTTGTCTGTAGTTGCAACCTTTTTGGCATCTAATTGCATATGCATTATAAAATCTTTCTTGATCTCGAATTTAGCCTGTTCACTAAAAATATTTGTCTTATTCTAGTGTTATTTTATCGGTTATCTTACAAAACTCTCTTTTGGCTGCTCTCAGCTACTGGGAGCCTTTTGGTACTTGTTTTCTATTGAACGTGAAACTACTAGCTGGCGAAAAGCTTGTGCAAGTAGGGCTGATTGTGTCCATGCTTCAGTGTATTGTGATGACAATAATGTCGGATTTATCACATTTCTGAATAATACATGCCCTATACAGACACCAAATGCAACACTTTTTGAATTTGGGATATTCATTGACGCTCTTCAGTCTGGTGTTGTCCAATCAACGGATTTCCCGCAGAAATTCTTTTACTGTTTCCGGTGGGGACTGCAAAATTTGAGGTATGAACATAAAAGATGGTATCTGTTCCTCTAATTTTTACTAGTGTTTCGAATAAAAATTGCAATGTTCTTTTCTTAATCACTGGTTTGTGTTGTACTCGAGTTGTACTTGTTTGACATTCATTGAAGCCAAGACCTAAAAAAGGAATGAAAAAAGGATGATCTATAGGAACATGCCACCAATACCCTTTATCTTTTGATGATTGAAGTGCATGCCACGAATATCCGATGTTAGATTGACTATTGTAGTTCACATGTGCGATTGGTGTTCTCATACATAGCATGAGTGCAAAGTTGAGGAAAGTTTGGTGACACCAGTTCTTCTAGATCTTCGTTGCTGGAAGAGAAAATTTATTAATCTTTTTTTTTTTTGGGGTAGATAAGAAACCCAATTAGTCTTTCAACTATTTCATTTCACCAGATGGTACAAGGAAAGCAGAGGAGGAGGGACGGAATCTTGGCAGATGAGGTTCTTATGTCACTTTTTTTTATAGGAGGGTTTTCTTTGAAATGCCCTCCTTTCACTTGCTTCTAATCCTTTGGGACTGGATGTGTAAGCCGATAAGACAGAAAAGTAATTATGATTCATGGCAAGTGCTATCTCTCTCTTTGGCTCTGCCCGTATTTATGCATAAAGATATATGAGTGTGCATACCGGTATATATAAATGTGTGTGTGTGTGTGTACGTTCGGATTATTGCTAAATATTTTCATTCTTGTTTTTGCTGGTCAAATCTTTACTACAAAGAGGAAAGAGTGCGATTTCTCAAATTGGTGATACTGGTGGCAGGTGGAGGCAGCGGACCACCTGATTTTCGGCCGCGTTTGATTTTCAGATGTGTGTGTGGGCGCGCGTTTGGTTGTGGACGGAAGGAAGAGGAAGCAAATGGGTAGTTGTGCATGGGGTTTGGTATTGGGTCTTGCCTTCTGTAGTGGGTGAGTTATTTTCAAGGGTTATTATTCACATTCTAAACCAACGAATCTGTTGATAGTAGGAAACTCCATTGCAATTTCAGGTTTGTCAAGTCAGGGAAATTCAATCCCAAAGTATGGGGGTTTAGTGTTGTTCTAGAAACAATAATATTATTAGTTGGATATGTTTTGTTGATACAATTTATCGACCTAGATTGATAGATAAATAATAAGGGATGTCAATATATTTATCCTTACATCTAAGGACCATTAACAACCATAAAGGTCTTTCCAAAAACTTAGAGATGGGTTGGAGGGGTAAAGTGTTATTTTGAAAATATTAAGGTATCTCTTAAAATATTGATCATCATATAACAACCATGATATAATTCCATAACCTCTATAGATGGGAAATCATTTTAGTTTATTAGATTTCAATTAAGCAAGCTTGCACAAATGTTAAAACTCAAATGTCATGTGGCCATGAAGAGGCATTGCAAAATATAAAATGAAGTGACTAGATTTATGTTTACCATAGCAAAACAAGGGAAATTTTGCTCACAATCTCTCAGTCTGATAAGGATTGTTGGCTTGATTTATTTTATGGATGCACTCATTGCTACCTGCATTACCTCAATCTTCAATATCCGCACTGAGAGAATCTACAGAGTTACCTGACAACAATGGTAACTCTACAACATCTTTGTTCATTTCATGATTCTCAGTTGGGATCTCTTGTGGAGTTAGAAAAGGCTTTGGAGGCATTTTCAGGAGTGCAACATCTCCTTCCAGCATCTCCACCACTCTGTGCATAGAAGGACGATCAATAGGCTTCAGTTGTATGCACCAGAACGCTACTATGATCATCTTCTTAACCATCTTCTTTTCCTCCTCAGTGGTAGCTCCCAAATCAATGTCCTCTCCTTCGCTGTATCGATCATAAACCCATGAGGGGAAGTAAATTTGGCTTGGGCGATCAGCAATTGCATTCAAATTCTTCCTTCTGCCCCCCATTTCCATTAACAACATTCCGAAACTATACACATCAGCTTTGTATGAGACACCTCCTATGTTTTTGTAGAACAATTCTGGAGCCATGTAACCCATTGTGCCTCTTGCTGCAGTCAAAGGCACAATGCTATCATCTCTTGAATATAGTTTCGCAAGCCCAAAGTCAGAAACTTTTGGAATGAAATTCTCATCAAGAAGAATGTTGTGGGGCTTGATGTCGAAATGTAAGATTTGCATGTTACAACCTTGATGTAAATATTCAATCCCATGAGCCACTCCGAGAGAAATCTTATACATTTTTTCACAACTCAAGGAGACGGTTTTTTCTTCTCGTGGGAAAATATGTTTTTCAAGAGACCCATTAGGCATGAAGTCATATATAAGAGCGCGCTTTGAACCCTCCGCGCAGAAGCCAACGAGTCTCACCACATTAAAATGGTGAATCCTTCCAATGGTAGCAACCTCACTGATAAATTCTTGCCCAGTAGCTTTGGATTTGCCTATCTTCTTCACCGCAACAAGGGAGCCACTTCGAAGCTTTCCTTTAAAGACAGTACCAAAGCCTCCTTCGCCCAATTTTTCATTGAAACCATTAGTCATCTTCCTAATCTCTGAGTAACTATACCTTATGGGCATCAGGTTGTTGTGTCTCTGTAGGAAGTCTTCAATGTTGTCAGAGATTGATAGGTGCCGCCTTCTCCATTTATACACCACTAATGCGAGAAGAAATGAAATCCCGCAGAAAGACCTTGCTGCAATAAACCATCCTGTGCAAATTTTAATAGAAAAAATTAATGTGAATTCGGAATTTTGAAAAAGAGAAAGATACTTATGGATTATTATTTTTTTTTTTTAGTGGGGGCAGAAAAAAGGGGCTGTATTTATTGAATAGTCTAAACTGCGGTTGCAAGTCAGGCTTATTGAAAACACACTAATTCAAGTCACATTGTCCTTCAAGTCTAGGGCGATTTGAAAATTCGATATTGAATCACATGCCAAAATTACATTGAGGGTCTTAGCTTACCGATTGGCTCGTATACTTTATTGAAAATATCTGTCAAAAATTCCAAAAGAGAGTAACCCAAAGATAAGATGTTAAAAAGTTACAGGAATAGGCTTATAAATATGAAGGAAAAGGAGAAAAGAATAGAGAATACTCACATTGCAACCGCTGAACCAAGCCTACATTTTCCAAACAGAGACAATGTCAGCAAACCAAAGTGAAAAATTTTAGCACTGAAAATAAAAAAACTCAAAACACTTCATACTGTGTTATTTAGGAGATTTTTAGTAAGATCATCGTGGTCGTAAGATAGATCTGACATGTTTTGTAAGTTAGTAATCTTATTCAGTTGATATTACTTGCAAGAGAATTTTGTAACACTACTACAGTCATTTGATTTGTCATTCGTAAAACCAAAATGATATTATAATTTACTGCCATGACTTTTTAGAAATACCATATATTATGACTTTGACTATGATTTTTCTATTTGCTGCTGTGATCCTATGATATCTTTTGATCCACCAATAGAAGTATTGGTCAACTTAGCGCAGTTCTTATCTTTCATGCGTAATGCAAAAAGCTAATGTGCCTTTACCTTTATCTGATTTTTTTTGGTAATTGTATTTTCCTACTTTATTCGTAAGACTTGCTTGAGAATGCTCAGGACTATAGCCTCAACTTATTACAGCCTAACTATACCCATTAAATCAAAGTTTTCAGGACAATAGTACGTATCTTTTGCAAGAGATAGCCAAGTTAATTAACCAGAAAGAAAATACTTGAATCCCTCCGCGTAAATTATGTTAGTACATGTTCTCATGTGTCTTCAGTAATTACACTCCATTTGGTACCATGAAAAAATAAAAAGGAAAGTTAAAGGAGGACTAGATAAAAATCATGTTTAGTATGAAAAAAAATAAGAAGGATGAAAATAAAAATTTTAAAAAATAAAAAAATATATATAATAATTTTTATTTTTCATCCATCTTATCAAATACAAAAGAAAGAAAATGTATCATTCTTATTTTCTTTCCTTAAATGATAAAATGTATATTTTTTTTACTTTTCGTCATTCTTACAAAATAGAGCATTAAATTTTTCTATAATTTATAGTTGAAACCAGAAAAAGAAGGGGATAAAAAAAAGATGCTCAATAAAGCCCCTTCTAGGAATCCAGTTCAAACACTTCTCTTTCCTCCACTTAGTAACTACGATCAAACTTATCAAATCTAGCTTACAGCTTACAGTTACTTATTATCATGTCCCCAGCAAAATGAAAAAATAATATCAAAAGGCAGAAATAAATCATTCAATTTTCTTACAATTTTGTAATTCCTAACTTGTAGGGATGCCCAATCAACATGCGTCGGGCGGAAAATTTAGTTGCTTAGAAAGAAAGAGTATAAAGTGTATATTTTCCAGCAAATTAAATTGCAGACAAGAATTATGTTGAGAGCATCAAAGCAATCAAAGTAAAATCTTTACTCACTCACAATGGAATATGCGGGTGTCAAAAGCAAAACTTAGCTCAGCGCAGTACTCGCAATAGATATTATTTTCTATGGAATAGCACTCGCCGCCTCTTGCTACACAATGTCCACAATAGACGCGATACCATCTAAGCTCAAACCCATATGCGAGCCCGTCATATAAGTCCGAAAAAGAAATGTCTCCCGTCAGGAGCAGTAATACAACATCTTCTGATGCCAAAACCGAACTGCCGATGTTGCAGGAGTCCTCCAGTTCTGAGAAATCCATTTCTCCTAATACAACATAATTATGATTTTGCAACGGAGATGGTGAAGTAGTGTTGGAGGTGGAAGTAGTGTTTCTTTTATCACAAAAGCCAGTGTCCACATATCCACTCCTATTTACAGGATTCTGGCAGCTTATGAATACAACATCATAATTATTATATGAACCTATGAAAGAAGGAAAGAATCTCCGTGTAAAAATGGAGTTTCTGCTAAAAGAATTATATGGCAGAGAATGAAGTGAAAGAGAAGAGCAATTATCCTTGTCTAGACCGGGATCAACAAGTCGAATGGAGAAGTTGTCATAAGTGATTGCCTCCACGTAGTAGGAGTAGTTGAATTTGTAGTCGTACCCTGCATCAGGAGGACTTTTAAGTTGTAGTATAGCGCGATTGTTGTTGCAGGCAAGTTGGTAGTCGCGAAGACCACAGTGCTGGGGATCGCCTTCCAGCCGGAAAGGGTAGCGTATGTCACGGATATTCCCGCAAGACGAAGTATTGCAGTGCTGATCATGCTTATGCTGGGCTTTGCAGCACCTACTTGTTAAGCACAATACAATTAGTAGAAGAATTTTTTGGATTACAAGCAAGAAGACCCTCCTCCTCTTTCCTCCTGACACCATAACTAGAAACGCAAAGCTAAGGTGTACTTATCTCTAAATCTTCTTTGATTTGTGGCTTCATTTCATCTGTTTTAGAGCCAGAAAGGGTGAAATGCATACTTCTTTGACACCAAGATGATGTGATTCGTTTGATGATAGTGGGGCCCTCCTTTCATCCAACGGCTTACATTAAGCTAATGGACACTTTTGGTGCACACAGACACATCATTTCGGAAAGAAAAATATTATATAATTCAAAACAAACTAAAGAATTAAAATTCAAATAGATATGATCTTTTCAATAATTGAGTTTATCAAAAAAATTGATAAGATTTACTCATTCAACGGATAATATGTATTTGAATTATAATTTTTAAAATTTTATTTGAATCTTATAGTATTATTTTTTTCGAAAAGATGACACACTCGTCTCATCTTAAACAACTTGGCTTACTTTTTTGGAAAAAAGTTATTTGAACTTAATTTAATAATTTAATCAGAAAATTTAATTTAATATCGTCATTGAGTTAAAAGTGAATTTTATTTAACTTTAAAATTGACAATTAATTCAATTCAATGAATTATATCCTGATTAAATTTTCTAATTCAATTCCACTTTACTTTTTCAGCAGAAAACAAATATATATATGTTTTTTTTTTCCAAAACTGGCAGGCTAAGTCGGTCATGGCTTCAAATGTCAAAGTCAAGTCTACAATGAAAAACAAGTTGATAAAAGTTTCGCCGTAACCAACACGGTTGGATGAGTAAAGGTGCATTTACTGACTTTTGATATAATTATAATTATCACTTGCTACTTTTGCGGATAAAATAATTAACACAAATAATACTTATTGAAAGATAAAAATTTAAAGATAAAAAAATAATAAAAATATGTTGATGTATTATTTATTGAAAGCTGATTATCTAATAACTGATTACATAATACTCAACTTTATTTATAAAAAAAATATATTATAATCTAAACTTATTTAGATACAACTTATTGTTTATGTTGAATATACCTATTCAACTCTTTCAATTTGATAATGTCATTAATAAACCTATTCATAGTTTATTATGACTCTTATATTAATTCCCTAACAAACTTCTGTTTATTATAATTAAAAAATTTGAGTCAAATTTTAACATAATGGAAATCAGTGATATCCGTCAAACCAATTTTTTTATTATATATTCATTGATGCAAAAAATCTGATTAAAAAAATTATAATTGTTTTTTTAACCATCGACAGGGTACAGTCTCGATCATTAAATTAATGGTTTACATTAATTTAATGCCCAAAATTTGGATGATAAGTGTAAATACTTGCTTCCATATGTTTTATAGTTCTTTGCTAGGTAGGTGTCTTCCATGAAGTGGGGCATTGTTTTATGAGTCAAAGTCAGTCAACGAAGGAACTTATTAAATCAAAATAGGGTTCTGACAAAATCAACACGATTAGATAGATATGCTCCTTTAAGGGGCCCACCTAAAATGGCAAAAAATTAGATAAGACTTTTATCGTATTTATAACACGTCGGGTCGGTAGATATAAATATCTCAACGGCATGTGGTATAAGATTTTATATTCATCTTATTTTAGTTTAATTGTATATTATTTTTGGTCTTAAATTATAATTTTATCATTTCTCTTGTTTATTTGTTACAAATATTATCTATATAATACCTACTTAAATGTAAAAAAACATTTAGGTCATGAGGGCATTCATATGGGGCATTATATATGAGGGCATTTAGATCTTTTTACTCTATTATACCTCTATGAAATTTATACTGAGAATATTATATCACTGGATAGATGGTATTGCTTAGCACCGTATACAAGACATAAGAGTTACTGGTCACACCGGATCAATACTATGACCCGAAAATTAATGTCGAGTAAAAAGTGTCAAACAAACAAAATATAAGGTAGGCTCCACGTACTATTTTTATTATACCAACCCTTTATATCACTCTTACACTTCAAACAAACAGGCCTCGAGTATCAAAAAAAAAGATATAGATACGTCATATGGGAATAAATAAATAATGTCATTGCCTTAAATTGTTGATCTACTCCACAAGAGAAAACTCAAAATAATTCCAAGTCCTCGCTATTTTTACGTATAAATTTTATTTTGTCAGAAAATAACATAAATAGATATCCCATTCAATTTTTTTTATGTACACTTATTGTGATTGTCTGAAAGATAGAAAAAAAAGTCTGGTAAAAGTTTCGTCAAAACTAATAAGATTAGATATTTCATATATAGTTTTCTATATTACACTTAGGATAGGGGTCTCAAAGAAGAAAAATTTGTTCAATAAGAGTTTCCTCGAAACTAACAAGGCTAGAGTTTCGTTGAATCTAATAATAAGACTGGATATTTCTTATAATTATTTGCCATATACTTGATGTAAGTGTCCAAAGCAAAGAAAAGAAAATTGTCTAACAAGAATTCCCTCCAAACTAACCAAAAACTTCATATAATTTCCCTGGCCGTGCCAGTAAAAGAGAGCACGCCCTATGGGTAAAATGATTGTTATATGAAATGCCGTAATTGATTGGTCTGCAGTTGTGGACCAAAAAAGTGTAAGTCAGTCTACAAAGAAAAGTAAGTAGATTAAAGTCGTCGTAACGAACACGGTTAGATGAGGAAAGGTGCATGTACTGACTTTTCTTTGCTATCGGATTTTGTCAGTCAAATTAACTGATATAATTATAAATATAATTGCATGTTAATGGGAATCAGTGACATCCATCGATCCAATTTTTTTATATATATATATTCATTGATGCAAAAAATAAGATTAACAAAAATATTATTGTGCTTTTTGACCATTGAGATGGTACAGTCCCAATCATTAAATTAATGGTTTACATTAATTTAATACCCAATATTTGGATGATAACGGTAAATAATTGTTGCCATATGTTATATGGTTCTTTGTAAGAGTGTAGATTGGACGGGTTGAGAGATCAATCTTAACTCAACTCTAGATATATAATTTTTAACTCTAATTTTAATCCTAACACTACCTCAACTCAAGGTACTCAATTTGAGTATTGCCCAAGTTTAATTCGGACGAGTTCAGGTTGAATTCGGATTACTTAATTCGGGCTGATTTCGGGTTAAAAATTAGGTTAACTTGAGTTATTTAATTCGGGTTGATTTTTTGAAATATAGATCTAATTTTTTCAAGTGATTTGAGATGAAGGACGATATGCAGATGAAAAGAGAGGAAATGAGAAAAGGGGGAATAACGAATGAAACAGAAAGTCTGTGACGACTCAAACGAGTGACGATTGAGAAAATGAGACTGAGAGAGGGAGGAGTGACAAGCGAGAGAGATCTGAGAGTAATGGAGACGCAGCGATGAAGACTTGAATTAAAGTAAAAGTCTAGATTCTAAAGAGTGAAAATAAATATTAACTTTAATTAAATATATTTATATATTTGGATTCAACTCGATTTTAATATTTTGGTTCAATCTGAGACTTGTTTAAATTCAATTCGAATCGAAATTTTTTTGTCAAAACATAAAATAGATAAGACTTTTACCGTATCTGTAACATTGTTATACATAGATACCTCATACAAGAATAAATAATAATGTAATAGGGTTTTTTTTTCCAGGGCTACTAAATTTTGTAAATTGGACTTGATAAATTTTGAATAGTACCATGAAAAATTTTGTTTTGAAATTTTACCTTAATACCATCTATTAGAAGTTTTTTTTACTTTTTTTTTTTGTAATTGTTAGTATAAGGTACCATTTTATAACCTTTTAAAGTATTTTTGTGCTTTTTAATTAATTTTTAAGTTGTAGTTGTATTGTATTTTTTGTTTCTTGCCCTTGCATGAGTTTGCTCTATTCTTCCAAGCTTAATCCTATGTTTAGTAGTACATATATCCATAGATATAACCATATTCTTTATATTCTAAGATGGATATAGCTCACTTTTCTATTACCACTTTCATTTAAATTAAATATCTATAAGGAAAGGAGAGGCCAAGCAGCGGTCCACACCTTGGAGACAGGTTGGTAGTTCCTTGGAAAATGGCCATCTCCAGCATTCACTTCTTCTTTCTAGTAGTAGTCCTTGCCGGAAGTTGTAGTGCCGGCCAAGATTATGAGTGCAAGGTGACAAAGTGCGGCGAATCCGGGCCAGACATCCGGTTCCCCTTCCGGATAAAAGACCGTCAGCCAGCTCACTGTGGCTATGGCCCTGCCTTTGACCTCTCGTGCACACAAAACAATGATACCGTGTTTGATTATGACCTCCAATTTCCAGTGAGAGCATCGACCAAGAGAATTCTGCTTCCATTATCACTCAAGGTTTTGGTCACGGATATCCACTATGAATCTCAGTGGATGAGTATCAATGTCGTGAATGCAAGTTGTCTCCCACGGTGGCTTCCAATTCCAACCCTGTATAATAATAGTTCATCATCTGCCGGCTCTCCATTCAAGTTTAACCAGGTCGATGATCCCGAATGTGGCTATATGCTCTTCAGTTGTCCCTCAAACAAAAATCTCTCACCATACCGTATAGTTCAGGTCACCTGCCTTAGTGGTCCTGGTCACCAAGTGTATGCCGTTCCTACATTTGGTTGGTACACGAACATCGATGAATCTGTACCGGACCTAACATCCTGCACCAAGATGTATAACATTTCATACGTTCCAAAAAAAATACTTTTGGGGGATGAATCACACCCTACTCAATTTTACACGCGATGTGGTTCACGCCTTTCTGGTCTGGGATGGTCCCCACCTTCTTGTGGATATTGTGAAGCAGAAAATAAGTACTGCCGATTGAAGAAAAACAGCAACCCCCAACCTCAAACTGAATGCGTCGACATTCCTATAACTCAACCCAACTCAGGTACTCCTAACTAGTTTTTCTGAGTATTCGTATTCAATCATGTCCCTTACAACATATATATCTCTTCTTTGAATTTAAAATTCTTGTGTCCTTTTCAGATGCATCCTCGCATTCGCATAGACAAGTT